TCAAGTAGATGTTTTGGGATGGTGAATGAAACTGAGAGATTCTAATCCCATGTATTGAATGACTATGAGGAATCATAATTCACAATGAGGAATTCCCAGAAAAACGTATTTGCTAATGTTTGGTAACCTCATGAGACTGCACAAAGTGCAAGACAAAGCAGAGAGATACCTATTCCAAAACTTCTAAAGTTTAGAGTAAGAGACAAAAGAGGGGAGAGGATGACAGAAATTTCAACCTTTATCTGGCAAATGTCCCTAAAAATGGGTGGCAAAGGTAAGTGATATGGGACAAGAGAACAATATGCATGCTGCCCACAACACAATGTAAATATTGGCCAAACTATATTCAAAAAGAAAAGAATCAAGACTTTTATTTGAGTTTATATTATCTCTTACTTCATTCATTCAGGAACAGCATTCACCTGAATGAGCCACTCTGAATAAAAACAATCCTTTAATGAATTCATCATGCAAGTCATTCTATTTGAAATGAACTCCCCCTCCCAAGAGAGACTCACTTGTCCAGACTCCCAACTTTTCCCTTAAGCTATGCTTCCTCAAGTCAATAACAAGAATGTCCTCTTTTTTTTTCAGACTTAATTTTCCTAATGTTCTTAGTTTGCAATAAACAACTGATATAATGTTTCTCTCCAAGTGAGACATTTTGAAAGCTAGATCATAGCCATATTGTCATGTAGAAAGTAACATTACATGAAGTCTAGTTTCAGGTCCAGGAATATGCCTGAACAACATCAACTCAACTCGAAAGAAATGATCACCTAAATCCCAATGGACATGGGCAGGAGGGAACAGGGCTGAAGGGAGCTCCTGGGAAAGATGCAGAAAAATGAAGTCCTTACAGGTTCTTGGAGAAATCCTTGAGAACTGTCTCTTCTTTTGGCTCTCTGCTCGAGCTATTGCCCCAATAGAATCTAGCCCATGACATCTAGGGGGAGAGACAATAAATTATCCAACATTGGTCTGACTTAATCAATTATAAATTGGAGACGTATTCACAAGGATAAAACATGAAAAGTTATAAGGACCTAAAGAGGAACCAGTGTCTCTACCTCAAATATTCCTGGATTGTTCTTTGAGGTCAAGGGAGTAGCCATATGAGTATCAACAGAAGTCCTTGACTGGAAATTCACATCAAATTATGACTCATCAAATAATTGAAGGCTTTTGGTCTGTCAAGGAACATCTGAAATCAAAGAAGAACCCAACAAAATCAATGATATATAGCAGCGGTGCCCAACCTTTTTGGCTAGTGTGCCATATAGCTCACTCCCAGAGCCATCACAGGCCCCTCACTAGTATTGTAGGAGACTATTTTAAAGAAACCTAGGGGCATTTATTGTGGGTTAGGGCCTTGTGGGTCACTTGTAAGCACCTCGAGGGCCACTTTTTTGCCCACGAGCCATGGGTTGGGCACTATTGATGTATAGTGTTGCAGAGATTATCAACTTTAACCCTAAACCGGCTTGCCATAGAGAAATCCAACAAAAATTTATGATGACATAATGGCTTAGATCTCTGGAATTAAATGTAGAATGAGCTTCATATGTGACACATGCAGAGCTAAAAAGTACAGTAACATGGTTTTGAAGTTTCAATTGTCTGCGTTACAAAATAAAGGAATGATGTCATGTAGAAAACATAAGAACTTGGGAAAATTTTTGCCATACTTCCTGCGTAGAATACCTTCACATGATTGGCTCTTCCAGGAAGAGCCCTCCATTGCACTGCATCTCCTGTTACAAGTCACAGAAGTAATCAAAGGCTTTCTCATCAGCAGGGACTTGAAGGGGGGCCTGTGGAGTGGCATTTACAGCACACTTGGGATTTTTAATATATTTCCCACTCATCCAGTCCAGCCTGAATTCTTATAATTTTCCTATTGACTCAATAATAAAGGACTCAGATCCCCCTACACATAAATGCACAATAGACCTACCTCTCCATCTTTAAAACCCAGGAAAAGACTATTAAAACCAATTGCCACATTTTTTTCCTTCAAACATCAACCAAGAAAACTGCTTCTGTACCATTAGATTAATGAGCAAGATGCTTAAATTTTATAAGAAAACATTCTCTGCTCTCTCCACTTTTGCTTCATGCCAAAATTTTTCAAGTAAATGAATGAGCAAAAAATACCAGGCAATTTTCTCAGAGCTATGCACGCTTGTCAGAAATTCTCAGAGAGAAATAAATTGGAGAAGGGTTTGCAAGGTTAACATTTTTTCCACTAAGGAAAAAAAAATTATCCATGCTTCTAAAATATTCATAACAACCATGGAAAATAAAATCACAACCCTCCACTATAAAAATGCAGTAAAGGGCAATGGAAGGTCACAAGCATGGCAAGTGAAAACACTTAACCATGTTATTAATTTGCAAATATTACAAAAATATTCTATTCTTTTGATGGTGAAGGAATGAGATTCACGATTCAAAGGGACGAAGAGATGTTTTGTTCATGCTGAAGCCAGGCTCAACATGGATTTTAAAATATGGAAAAAGCAACAGCAAGCAGCTGAAATAAATGAAGATAAAAAGCCTCAAGTTTTGGTTGAGAAACAATAGCACATCATGTTTCTCAATACTCCACCTCTTATGTTGATAACTTTACAGGCTGAAAAATCTCTCACTTGAAAGGTTTGAGGTAAGATACCTACAGCTTAGTTTGGCCAGCATTTAAAATGCTGAACATTGCTTCTCCAGTACGGGAATGTGCTGTCTCCTGTAGAAAGTGTGGAAGAGTAGAGGTAATGGTCCTGGCCAGGAAATGCACATCAGGCTTTCCCATGTGATGCTTTCAATGCACCAAGGATTGCATACGCATCATTTGGCCCATTTGAATGCTATAGTGACTTAAAACATTTCATGCTTAGTTTAACTAACACCAACAGGAGGAAAGTGTGGAACAGCAATCAAAGCACATGCAAGTGGAAAGAGGAAGCTGACCCAAACACAGTAGCAATGCTCTGCCCCTTAGTGAAGTACCTGAGAAAACTGGGCTTGTTTCTTTGCTCTCTGCAGCATCTCCCCTCAAACCAAGATGCATGCTAACTTCTTTCCTTGATACATCTCATCTTTTGGACTAATACTGCCTCTTTCAGCTGAGCAAAGATGTGGGCTGCAAATAACAAGCTGTATTTCCTATATTTCCATGTATTACACAGTTCCACATTCTACTTTTGATCAAATCATACTCATAAATCAGAAGAAAATAAACCTGTCATGAAGATGATAGTCAAATTGGGATGGACATAAAATGTTTCTAAGGCTGAGCAAAACCAAGTCAACCTAAACTTAAACTAAAAACCTTCACTTATGAAGAGACATGAGCCTACTTTCTCTTTTTTATTAGCACAATCATCTGCAAAGTATACTTTAATGGAGTACACAACATTTGATAGAATTTTTTAAGGGAGGACTTTTGTGTTCACAAATTTCAAGGCAATGAATACTGAATCTATTTTGTCCTCTTCCTTTCATTTACAGTAAATAAGAACAAATATCCTCTTGAATCCTGTGCCAATATATATCTCAACATTTTTAACATCAGTGCTTCATAAAGTGGAACAATAAAAGCAGCAAGGGAAATAATGGTTTCAAGACAACCCAGGCTCTATTTTCAAAAGAAAAATGAGATCAAGAATGATTTTCAAGCTGACTTCAGAAAACACTGAATTGAAATGTAAAATTACATGCAAAGTAGTCAGGATTCAGGATGTAATGTGACTTTTCAGAAGTGAAACAAGAATTTCCTCTCACTCATGAAATTTCTTTCCACTTCATGGTGTGAACCTATGGACATCCTATGGAGCTAATTGAACTTCTTTATCCCACTTACATTATAAGTGTTTCAACTGAGGTTAGTTTTATTGAAACCTGAATAAAACTTTGGCATTTCATAATGCCTAGTTGTACAAAATGCAGGCTGGGTTTATTGCATCATATGTGATATATCCCTTACTTTTCCCCCTATTTTCTTGCATGTCACTCAAAGGCTCACTCCCAGATGAGATTTGAGTCTGAAACTATTATCACTAATGCAAATAATTTGTCGGACAGGAAAGGTGAAACTACGGAAAGCCTTGATGAATGAAAGGAGGCTCACTTGAGATATCAATAAGCAGACCCTTCAAATGGAAGGCACACACCGACAGAAGATACAAGCTATCAAAGAAAAATATAAAGGAATATCGGTTCTGTCGCGTGGAAGAGACGGGATGATGGCCGACGGATGAGAGAGGGAGAGCCCACTCGATGAGAAACGTCCAACGATGGGATGATTCGAGTGCACGGCACACAGGATCGAGTGCATGTGGGGGACGGAATGAAGGCATTAGGTCTGGGCCAACACATGTAAGGAGGTCCAGATGCCCATCATCCCTACGTGCGACAAGATTATGTGCTTGATGATGGTCTAGACTTCCATGTAAATACATGTTTTCCTGCACCCTAATATTAGTATCATTCTCTGTCAGCTACATATCCACCCATTCATGCTATCCATAGATGAATATGCATCTTCCTGGGGTTACAAAACACCCACCAATAATTTATATGTTCTCTTCATTAATATATACAACTTCATCAGCTTTGTAACACATATTTACCAACTGCATTTCCTTACTATGCATACTTTCACCTCTGAACATACACTTGTACAGGATGCCAGTTACTTGGAGAAGTCTGTCTGAAACTTGAATCTCTTAACATGCAGTACAAGAAAATTCAGCTTCTAGTGTACAAATTCATGGCATTGCAAAACAGCTTTTACATATTACCCATTGATGCAATCTGTTCAAACTGACTCGCCATCGATTCCAAATGACAATGTCCAAATTGTATAGAAATGATTTCATGAAGGCCACTCACCACGGCTAATCCTGAAAGAGCGCTATGAAGAACATCTCAACTATTTTCCGCTGACTGCGGCCACCTAACCGTAAATATGGGCCTCAGGGGCCTGGTTCTTTAAATTTCAGTAATTTGATGGTGGCAACAGGCAATCGTGCCAACGCCTACCACATCAAGAAAAAGGACCGCGACACGGTGTGCAGTACACTACGACCACGAAGCACTCGCGCGTCCATGTTTCCTCGAACCGCCGGATTCAAGGTTGCCGCGAGGTCTCGGCTCCAACTCCGTCCCCATCCCTCGAACGTCTTTCCCGCTTTCCGCCTCCTCTCGCCCGTCTGAGGCACAGAGCGTATAGATAATGCACAGACGTTCGATCGACGCCCTTCAGTCTGCGGCCACATGCGGGTCGCTCGAGTGCGTCTCCGTCCGTGCAGCGCGAGGACTCGACTGCGGGGACGTGGCCCCGAGCGTTCGTAATCACCTTACCGACCTAGTTTCGACCGTCTTCCCGATCGTAAGCTTTCGCGGAGTTTTCTACAACATTCCAAGTGCCTGTCGCGCCCCGAACGCTCGTTCGATATCGTGGTTAGCCGCCAATATCGCTTGCCCCGTTGCAGTGGCGTTGGCATGGGCCCTCGTGCAAGAACCGAAACGGGTCCGATTTCTTACTATTGAGTTATGTGGGAGTCGTATTTGTTTGCTAGTTTTCTCCGGGAGCATCGTCGTCGATAGCTGAAGTCAGGGTGGAAGAATTTTCTGATTCATCTTAGCGAGGACGCGAGATGAGTCGCTGAAGCGGTTTATCGGTCGCCCTGTGTAACGAGGATTTAACGACCCCCGGACGAGAACTTTCTGCGTCCTTTTCTCGACCTCATTCTCTCCAGGATTCCGGATCCGCTTCCGAGAAATCAATTCCTCGATTAGCGTGAATTTGCAGGCGCGAGAGACATCTGGCGGCCGTTTCGCTTCCCGTCCGTTTTCCCGCGAATCTGCGTCATACAATCCACAAAAGCAGCTTTTTTTTTTTTAAGACGTCAGCCGGATCCTCATTCCGCGAAAAGCTCCCCGGCGCAAATTCCGTCTCATCACGCGAAGAGGAATTAATCGCATCTCGACTTACATTTCCGCGCACGAAACCGGTTCCCACCGAAACTCTTCGCGCCACGACGACCTCCACTTCCCTCTTCACAGTCGCAACGTCTCTCCGAGACCCTCCACGTCCCATCGGATTCAAGGTTCAGATAGGGACGTCAACAGGCATTTCTGCGCATCAAGGCTTCCCATGGCAAGATCGAACGATCGTTTAATCATATATCATGATAGACAGGGGATAGATAGGGGGGGGGGGGCCCTCTTAAAGATATTTCTGTGGGAGCACATCCACCCCAACCACAACCCCAACCACAACCACAACCACAACCACAACCACAACCACAACCACAACCACAGTCCAGTCGCCTTCATCAGGGACTCTCCCAACCCGACTCGGTTCCCTCTCCTGTCGCCGCCATCGATGGAAAAAACCGCCAACCTCTTCGTTATCGATTCCCCGAACTATTAACGCCTGGACGAGGTCCTCCCTCGCTAACCTCCTTTCGAGTGAGAAGGGTCCCGACACTTCTCGAGGCATCTCGTTACGTCCTCATCTGGACCCTCTCGAGCGCCTCCAATAACGAACGGGATTCTCCTCGTGGGGCCTTACCAGCTTTGCATATAAGATGAGTTTAACGTGTGAGGTATTACTGGCTCTGGAACGTCGTGTAGAATCCCATTACATTCGGCTACGTCGTGACGCGTGAAAAATGGAGGTCAGTTCCCATGTTACTGTGCTAATCTTGCTAATCGATGTTAATCCTATGCACCATTCGAAGAGAATTTGGATCGGACGGACGGTCGTATTTCTTCACATCGTCTCGCCACGGACCCCGAAAGGCACGCGCGCCTGTTCGCGGGGACTTTGCACCGGGCCGTGCACGAACGCACCAGGCGGATGAAAGGAAACATCTGTTTGACCTTAACGGCCCGGAACCAAAATACGAAATTCGCGTCGAATCGGGTCGACGGTTCCGCCTGTTACGCCCGCGTGACCGCAATCTCGAGGAGATAAAAAAAAAAAAAACAAAAAAAAAAAA